TCAGGCCATGTTATTTCCTTTGTCTTGCACCCATATGGCCGAAATATGCACCTCAAAATAGGCCAAGGAATGCTTCATCACAGCCACATAATGTCCTTGACTTATTCCACATATGGCCGAATTCCTTATGCAAGAAAAGCCAAACAAAATCCACCATCAAATTAATTACTTGATAAGACCCCGGGTCTCGGGTACAACATTTGGTATCAGAGCTATATTCGAAGACTTCCTTAAGTCTCGACGATCACCTTGTGGACCAACTTCACAAACGTACCCAAAAGAAGGTTGCTGAAAATTTTTCCAGAAACTTTCAGCTCCAAAGAATTGATCACGGAGGAAGCTACACAAAAGATTTGGAAGTGACATTTTCCAGTATGAAAGTTTAACGTTTTTGCTACGCGTGGCCGCTGATTTCACTCAATTCCGAGTTGTGGTTAGTGAGATACGCCCTCCTGAAGTTGATAGCAGAATCCTGGACGAATTCTATCTACCTTGCTGAATTTGTCTCCAAAGAGGTAGCAAACGTTCTTTAATGGCTCCAAATTTTTGATATGTCTTTATGGACGTGAATATCTAGCTCTGAGAGTTGGAATTACCTAATTCCAATCTCCGGTTTGTGAGATATGGTCTCTAAAAGACACCTCAGAAATCTGGACATTATCCTTGCAAATGGAGCAATATTGCAATGGGCTACTCGGCGGTGTTTCATGTGTGGTGGCTGTGGTCATGGCCATTGGGAATGTTCAAATAAGTATGCCATACCATATGAAGAGTGGGTCATGATTCATGAGGAGGAAAAGAAAAGCTCATGTGACCAATTTGTCAATGAGGAAGACGTCTTTGATATTCCTGTCAAAGATGAAGATGACGTCTTCATAGAAGAACCGGCTTCGAATGCTCAAGAAGAATCACACTATAATGATTCTTTCTTTATTCATGATGACTTCGTTGATGAGGTAGTTATAGAGAAAGCCACACCGAAAGTTATATATTCTAAGGAAGTGATTTCCATAGAGTATTATCATCTTTTCAATGAAGGAAAATCTTATCTCATCTCTAAGGTATGTTCGAAGCAGGTTTTTACAAGGCATGGCATCATGTTCCGGAAATTACACAACGAGGTGTCTACTAATTCCGGAAGGAACCTCATTATTGGTGGTTCATTGAATTTCCCATTTGATCCGGGAATTCTTTTATGAAACCCCAATCAGTCACGGTGGTGCGAAAGTTTGAGGACAAACTTTCTTCGAAGAAGGGGAGTATGATGTACCCCTGGATGGCTCCACTAAAATCCCAACCTCTCCCAAAATATCCAAAAGTCTTTAATCTTCATTTGATAATCAAAATAAAACCTTTACCCTCCTTTTTAGCCTTGGACAAAAATGATGACCAAAAAGACAAACCTTGTGTGTTGTTTTCTACTTCTTTTGTTCCTTTCATTAAATAAGACTTTCCCCTTATTTTCCTACACATTTCCCACGAAATTCCTACCATTTTCTTCCCAAAATCAGGCCTAAATCACCACACACAACAAAGGGACAAAAATCAGCAAAAGGTCTTTGATTGAATA